CTTCAAATTCAAGGTAAATCTTATGCATTTATATACATACCACTTAATTCCTATGTATTTACATCTCTAACAGCTAAACTTTGATTTTTACATGTATGCCACATTCCCTATGTATAAAATGGTGCATATCACTTGTTTAAGGTTTAGGGTAGTGTCATATTTGATGTAATACAAAAATTTTAGTTGTTGTAGGTGTAAAAGTAAAGTTTAGGTGCTAGATTTTTACATACCCAGCAGTTATGTGATATGTATATAAATGCCTCTTACTATTATGCATTGTGTGTTATGCTTGCGATTATGAAATTTTTGGTGTGAGATATGTAGACATAAAAGAATTGTGATATGTGTATATAAATGCCTCTTAATGTTATATCTTTAGGGTACTAAAAATTTTTAAAAGGAGTTACCCTTTTAGAATTCTCAGGTCGATTGTTGAAAGTGATGGTAATATAGATGGGAATGTAATTAATAGAATTCTTCAAGTTGGTCGGTTGAAGGTGGAGGAATGCATCGAACCTATTGTGTGATAGAAAAGTAGATGGCTTAGTCACATTAGACGACGACCATCTGATGGACCCAAAAAGGCTTGCGCTTATTGTATATAAAATGATATTAATTTATTAGATTTAAATTAAAATATGACTCAGTTTGACACAATGGAGAAAAAGGATTTGTGTTGTCAAGCCTACTTAGTGGGATAACCGAATATTAGAAAACTAGACTAGACTAATTAGTTAGATTGTGAACAAGCCACATGACATGTCTAGTTCTGGTTGTAGGGCGTACTAAAACTTTACCATCATGTATGTTGATCTGATTTTTTTTTGTAAGAATCCATAGAACATCTTTGATACATATGGATATTTGCAATTTCAAATCATCGATGTATAACATATTATATATGATTGAAAAGGACTCACTGATGCATTCTTGAATGGTGTTCAAGAATTTGTGCAGGTGGCATCACAACTGCTCATTTACCATTCAAATGGTAAGTTCTAATGTCCTTGCACGAAGCACAAAAATCAAGCATATATGTGACCCATAAAAGTCAGGTTAGATCTTTATCACAAAGGATTTGAACCAAATTTTTAGAATTGAACTGCACACGGTGAGCAAGAAGCAAAAGTTCAATATAATCAGCTTGGTGCTTCAACAAGTTACAGCACTCCAACATGGGAATTCCATCCTGGCACATATGATGAGTTGATTCATGAGGCTCTTAGAGCTCATTTTGTTGATAGTGTTTCACATGAAAATGAAGCACCGTACAACAAATCACGACAGTTTTATGACTAACTAAATGTCGCAAAATAACCTTTATGAGATGGTTGCACTATATATACAAAGTTATCAGTGTTGCTAGGGATGTTGAAAATCAAATTAGATTTTTAACATTCCCAGAGAATCATTCAATCAAGTAGCAATGTTAAACGAACCCGACAGAGAATTTAATTTCGGATGGCCTGTACAAAACCATAAAGTTAGTGTCAAAGTTAGTGTTACAACTTGAAAAGATAGATTGGTGTGTTAACGGTTGCTTGATATATTTCAAGGCTGATGCAGTTGAGACCACAGTTTATGCATCTCCTGATTATGAGAGAAAGAGGCAAACGAACAGGGCGAACTGGGCGACCTAGGGGGGCATGGTAGTTGCGCTCTGTATTGGAGGATCGGTCCCCCATACCAAGACCTACAAGAGGCTAGTAATATTCTTGTAAATATTCAAAAATTTAATGTTTGATGTAATTAGGTGGTGCTAACCATTCTATTATACTACACACGTCAAGGAGTTGAGCCGTGAACCCTCTATTGCAGAGTTGCATTTCAAACTCATCGGTGCCTGGGGACACAGTAGTGGATCTCCGAGCACTCTCGACGAATGAATGCAAGTAAAAAAAAGTTATTTTATGTACATTTTTTTTATTCTAACTATTCAAATAGATCAATAAACATTGGTTTAATTATGTAGGAGAAGTTCAAGCAGCTTTGGAAGAGGCACTTGACCTCTATGCCTTAAATATTCACCAACAACAGTGGTAGCCATTTTATCACTGCGTTGTCTAAGTTTGAGCTATCAAAGCAGGTGGCGGGAGAAAAAGATAGGGAGGGTCAACGATCTCGGTGCGAAAAACATATCATTGGAGGTTGAGATCTCCCATTCTCTTATCAGTTCCCTTAACTTGACACAGTCGTATCATGATACTCTTGCTAGGTAGGTCGTTGTAATGAACAAAGAGCTTCTTTAGTTGCTTGACCAAGTGATTCAAGACCAACACAGAGTTGAGGATACCATAGCACGCTTGGCAGAAAGATTATCAGATTGCTCGGGCAAGTTGCTAATGAAGTTTGTAGTTCAGGAGGAGGAGAAGTATGGTTTTTTTTTCTTCCTGTGTTTTAGCATTCTTTTGAACTTTTGTTATGAACTTGCATGCAAACTTTATTGAACTTTTGTTATGACATTATTTTACTTTTTCATTATTGATATTTATTTGAGCTATAAACTAAGTTATTGTAATGCATTAATATGTTGGTGTGATATACATTACTTGTTTCGTGCAGGTTGTACGAATCTAATTGTTCTTTATAAATATTTTTGTTTTCTTTGTAGCAGTTTCGCTTTGGATTTACGTCTAATATTTCGACTAACCACGACAATTATTCCTTCGATGGGCTTCAAGATTTTTGACACAAAGTAGATACATTAGCAGTATTAGTAGTCTCGTTATTAACACACACTGAAGATGTAAATTCGATGCAATTTTTTTACATTGGAATGTTTCGACGTAAATTAAATCATCGCCTTCGTTGTACTCATGAAAAAAGCGAATCTAAAACGGATGCAAAGCCAACGATAATCTCATAATATAATCGGATTTGCTAAGCCCAAAAAAAAAATTCCAGAAATTGTATATTAAAAAATAGAAAATTGAAATTAAATAAAAATCATCGAAATAATTAAATTTGGAACCATGGGATAGAATGCAAATTTTCTAGGTCTGTTATGTGAGTTTTTGAGTGAGCATTCAGCCTATGAAGCTGAATAGGCTTGCAAATTGGTCAAATTGATTGCAACTCAAAACTAAAATTTGAAAAACCAAACCAATCAAAATGTTGATAAAGTCGAACACCAAAGTTTAATAAACCAAAAATCTAATTGTTTGTTTGAATTTTATTATGAACAAACAGTACAAATGCATATGGTAAATGTATGATATCAATTTAATTTCATGAATCTTTTGCTTATTTTAATCACATATAGGAAGATTTACATACATTAATGTCATATTTCCTATGCATGGAAAAGTGTGTTTCATTTCTTTTTAAGTTAAAATTGTGGTATTTTTAATGAAATATGAAAAATTTTGGTGGTATAAATGTATAAAGTAGAATTTAGATGTTCGATATATAAAAAAATAGGAATTGGGCGGTATGTATGTAAATGACCTTAAAATAGAATAAGAAATTTTAATTAAAGTTAGGTTTTGGATTTGTTTGGTTAAATGAAAATTCTATCCAAAACCATAACTTAAAATTGAATGTTAAAGTTTTTAAAATGAAAAATTGAAGTATATTTTTGAGACTTAACTTGTGCATCAGAAATGTGTCAGTACAAATGTCGATGAGATCTAATAGGATAAAAGATGAAGACTTACAGTCAGGAGGGCTTACCAGCGGGAGACTAAAAGACTTGTTAACATAAGATCAAAACACTCACTTGGCGAGGTGCAGCCTCCTAAACCAAGACCCGAAGCAAGCTAGACGCAGACTGCCCAAACCAAAGACCAAGATCAACAAGGTTGAGAGAAGGGGCCAACCCAGTGTTTTTCCCAATCCAATCCCAAGGAAGGAGTCATCATACATCCCACAAACGCCTCTGATACTCCGTGTGAGGAGGTTAAAGATTTTCCAAGATGTGCTCCAATAATACATGAATGACTTTTCTATTAAGGGTTGAGCTACCTGTCGGATTATAGTGTTTCACGCTCAACTTGACGATCCAGCCTCGTCCTATGGATAGAAGTTCCTCATCAAAAGTTCAATAGTCAACAGTTAAACCAAAGAAACCGACCGACAAAATCAAATCAATTAAATCAAGTCCATCTGATATGAAGACCACCAGAACAGAACCGACAATCCCAACTCAGCAGTCGGATGACCGAACCTTGCAGAACCAAGGCTCTCATACTGAGGAGTAGGGTAGCCAAGCAATAGACAACACTTATAAAATACCCAAAATATCTTGTGATGTCCCCATTATAGTAAGGGTAAGTATGTAAAACCAATTTTATAGTCCCCCCCCCCCCCCCCTCTCTTATAAATAAAGGGATCATTTGTTAAGAGAAAATTAACTAAGAATCCATTCTATTGTTTATTATCGTGCATTTTACTCTAGTGGCTCTCTCTCTCTCTCTCAATGCATCGCTCTCTCTTTTGTTTTATGCATAGTTTTTGGTGTGACTCTCGGACAATTTCAGATCCAACAAAATTGAATCAATCAATCTTGTACGATTAGTTTCAATTTTTCAAAATTTTAATTTTGATTAAATAATGCACACCTTCGATTTAGGTTCAAGTAAATTATTATAGCTCGCAGAAATCTTTTACTCAAATATTTTTGTAAGAAATAAAAATATATATATAATATAATTTAATTTCATTTTAAAAAAAATTTAAAGTTGACAACTAAGATTTTTAAGTTTTTGCATATATACATACATATATATATAGAATTAAAAAAGAAATCAAATCCGAGCGCAAATTTGCATAACGAGTAACAGGATCACACGCTTTTTCTTCGGAAGTAGCACCTATCATAAAGGAAAAGGTCAATTAGGGCACGACGCTTTAGCCCGTGCAATCGTAACCGTTGATTTCTATTTTTTTTTATCAACAAATACTTTTTATTCAATTAAATATCATTTTTTTAGTCAATTAAAAAAATTAAATATAGAAAATATTGAGGTGTTGGGTTAGGGCGAATTTTGGCCCCGCCGGGTGCGACGAGAACTCGTGCCTATAAATTGCTCCCATGCCTTTCTTCCCCAATCTCGAGAGATTAACCCTTCGATCGAAAGCTTTAGATGTCTCAGAGAGCAAACGTTCCCCACTTCTCTTCCATAGCTAACGGCCTCCATTCCCATCTCCTCGTCTCCAGTGACATGAACCCTAGCTCTGATTGGTAGAGTGCCCACCTTTGCTCCCCCGATCGTCTCTCTTCATAACATATTTCTCTTAACCTAGCTTTTTTGGTTTCTCGTTTTCTTACGGATCTCAAGTAATGGGTCTCAAGGGATTTGTGGAAGGCGGCATTGCCTCCATCGTCGCCGGCTGCTCCACCCATCCTCTCGATCTCATTAAGGTCCGGTTGCAATTGCAGGGCGAATCGCCGGGGCCCGTGCACGCCCTCCGCCCTGCTCTAGCCTTCCCTGGCTCTACATCCATGGCCATCCCCCATTCCACCTCCCCGTCCTGCCGCCCTGGTTTTCTCTCCGTCGGCGCTCAGATTGTTCGCGCTGAGGGCCCTTCTGCACTTCTCTCCGGCATCTCCGCCACCGTCCTCCGCCAAACCCTCTACTCCACCACCCGTATGGGTCTGTACGACATCCTGAAGACAAAATGGTCTTCCGATGGCTCGGGGGCTGCTCTACCGCTGCACAAGAAGATCACCGCGGGTTTAGTAGCCGGTGCTGTGGGTGCGGCGGTTGGGAATCCGGCCGATGTTGCGATGGTGCGAATGCAGGCGGACGGTAGGCTTCCAATCGCAGATCGTCGGAACTATCGAGGTGTGGCGGATGCCCTCGTTCGGATGGTGCGGGATGAAGGATTGGGTTCGCTGTGGCGGGGTTCCACGCTGACGGTGAACAGGGCGATGATCGTGACGGCTTCGCAGCTGGCGACTTACGATCAGGTCAAGGAGGGCATTCTTCGGAGAAAAATGTTGCCCGATGGGCTGCCGACGCACTTGGCGGCGAGCTTCGCGGCGGGTTTGGTGGCGGCTGTGGCGTCTAACCCGGTGGATGTGGTGAAGACGAGGGTTATGAATATGAAGGTGGAGAAAGGGGCGGCGCCACCCTACGCTGGGGCGATCGATTGTGCGGTGAAGACGGTTAAGGCGGAGGGGCCGATGGCTCTTTACAAGGGATTTATTCCTACTGTTTCTCGCCAGGGTCCATTCACTGTTGTCCTGTTCGTTACCCTTGAGCAGGTCCGGTCTCTGCTGAAGGAATTCTAAGCAGCCTGCAGCAATGCATAGATCGCGGTTGAAATAAGAGTCTCACGACGACGATGATGACGATAACATATTTTTCTGCTACTCACAATGAAGAATTGAATTGAAGATTTTAGTCTCTGATTACGGTATAAGAACTTTTAATTTAAACACAGTTTGATTATTTTTTCTTAATATTGTTTAAGTTGTTCCAATCTCCGGCATCTACGGTGATTTATTTATTTATAATAAGAACTTTTTGTTTAAAGTCTCTAATTTCATCTCAGTTTGTTTCGTTTTATCTCCCTCCCCGCCTTGATTGTTTTTCATATCGAAGAATAAATTGGAGTATTGTTTTCTTTGGCGTATCCACAATTTCATGGGAAATTTTCTTGCCCTCGATCAGCTTATGCTTTGGCCTGCATCTAGAACATGAGAAATTTGTACAGATAATTTATTTTTTAGTTAACTTGCATAACATTCAAATGAAATTCCAGAAGATTACAAGCACTTATAAGGCACGCAACATTAAGAGATAGAAGGTAAAGCGGGTATTTATCAGAAGATCTATCAAAAATAACAACTTCATCTTTTTATTTTATCGTTTGATAATCATGAATTATGAATCTCTAAGTGGGTTTCAAATAAGATGAACTCAACCATTAATTCAAACTACAAGACTAACAAACATAAATGCAACATCAATTTGTCACAACTCGATCTGTAACATGTTGCTATATTCAATTCCAAAGCAGATATACCGCAGATTGATTTATAATTTTGAAATATGACTCAACTAATTAATATCATCATAGCAATCATATGGCAGCATTACTTTTATTATATGATTCAAGGCATATGACTTCTTAATCATATGTAGAAAATCATTTTATTATTGCTCTAGCAGAAACAAATGGACCTTAATCAAAAAAACTTTTACTTTTGCAATAAGCCATTCAAATGATAGCTGACACAATTATTGAACAAAAAAGCTATGTCAATAAAATTAAATCAAACTAAACTAACTGTAAATAATATGACGTTGCAAACAAGGAATAAATAGATTGGTTGTCCTGTGAAAACCAAAATTGTGGAGAAGAAAGGTGAGGTGTGTGTATGTCGAATTTTGATCTGTGCTGTTGACCTAATGAACAGAGCTTAAAATATAAAAGAAAATAGAGGAGAAGAGAGTACGGAATAATGAGTTCATGAAATTATCTCTTTTTTATAGATAAAGGGAGTATAATATGAGGAGTTATATTTATGCTCCTATTTAAATAGGGGCTGTATAAATTATTCTATATATTTTACTCTAGTGGGCGATATTTTACCCTAGTGAGCCCAGAGCCTTGCTACTTTCGGGCTCGAGCTGCTTGGCTAGATTTGGCTTGGTCAATAGTTGTGGTTCGGTAGGACTGCTCCCATTATTGTTCCTACAAATTTGTGTTCGGTTTTTTTCATGTACGGTGTATTACTTTTGGTCACTGAGTCGGGTTTTGATTTGACCTAAAGTTGGCACGAACCAAACATCCTTAATTGAAACCCAATACATTTATTAAATGTGACAACGTAGGTTATCCGAATCGGACTTGATCTAAACCCAACTTAACCAAATTTGACTCATTCAACGCTTTTACTACATGGATTATACTGAAAATGATCTATTTAATATAAATAATCCAATTCAAATTGGAATTGTATTTTGGTTTGGTCAATTTCAGGCAATTTGAGTCAACCTGAACAGATCTGCATTTTAATTTGGTCAACTATTTTTCATTCGAAATTGATAAATTTTTTGACAGAATTGCTAAAGCTGCTTAAACGAAATTGGCTAATTAAGTTTGAATAATTATTTTTTAAAAAAAATTAAGGTTAAATGTGTCAAATCTAAACACAATACACTTGTATATTTATATCCAAGAAAAAACTTATTTATTGTTCCAAAAATAACTTGTTAAATGTTATGTACTTATATGATAAATTATTGTTGAATTTGATATTGTCATGTGGATCATAACCAAGAAATAGAGCATATGATATGTGTGTATGTGTTTGAGAGAGAAAGAGAGAGAGAGAGAGAGGAATGAACTTCTAATGTAAAAGGTTCATTAGTTTTTTTTTTATATATATATAAAATAGTCCCTTGTTTATACATGAGGGGGTATAATATGCAAAATTATATACATGCCTCTGCTTTAAAAGGGTATCACAGGAGATTTTGGGTATTATGCAAGTGCAAACTTGTGGCTCGGCTGTCTTGTGATTTTGTAGGCCTGAAGATAATGGGCGTTAGTTCGACAGGACTCTCTCGTCCGATTGTTGGGAATCGAGGATGTCACTCAACTTTCAATAATCTTTAGGTGTGCTAAAGTTGGCTCGGTCAACCTGATGTTGTTTGTCGGCTATCTAAGGGCCGTCAGTCGATAATGATCCATCGATGAGGAACTCTTATCGATGGGATAAAACTAGGCTATTGAGCATAGAGTAAATTGTCCTATTCCAATAGGTAGTTAATCCCTCGATAAGATGGATCCTTTTGGATGTTCGACCACGTGTTTTGCGGCCCAGAATGACGTTATGTTCTTTTGAATGAGCTCATGATGAGAGGAAAATCGTTGCCCCAATTATGCTCAACAAGCTTTGGTTCTGACTACTCTCGCTAAAAAGGGTTGGACTTAGTTGAATAAGTATTTTGTTATTAAGAGGGTAGATGCTTTGTTTTTTAGTGTCCAATTAGTGGATATTTAGTCTTATTGCATTGAGGCCCGAGTCTTTCGCTGAGGGACTATTGATCTTCCACTCATGGGCCCCATAATATTTTGCTCTTTTGTATTTACTGTTCGTTAGATTTCCTCGAGATTTGTGTTGGTGATTTTTTTTCGTAAAATTTTTAAAATAAATTGTAATTAATTAGAACTTACTTAATAGTAATACTACTAAAAGAATATTTTTTGGCAATGCTTAGCTTTTAAAAAATGTTGTTAAGAATATTAAAGAAAATGCTTAAATTATTTAGAATAGCTCCTACAAGCATTTGTATTGCTAACAATTGTAGTGATTTAAAATCCTCCACAATGAAAATAGTAGGGTTTTTACTGCTGTGATTGCCTCTATAAAGTGTTGTGAAATTTTTTTTTCTTAATCGTTATATTATAATTTAATATCCATATTCCTATAAATTTAATGTATTTTTTTATTTCAATAAACAAGTTTATTTTTAACTTATATGTTATTTTATTTGCTTGGCATAAATTAGTTAGATGTTAGTTTTAAATTTATTCAAATTGGTTGTTTATTTATGTTCTTAAAATCACTTTTTAATAGTTTTATACAAAAAAAAAAATCAAATATATTTTTGAATTTTTAGCTTGTTTACAAGATTTATATAAAAAAAGATCATGTACAAGTTAAATTTTTAATTTTACATTAAATAATAGGCAGCCATTGGAATTTTCAACTTATTCAATTAATATAAATAAGCCAAACAAAAATTAAATATAATTATTACAAAAATTAATGAAGGCAATAAGTATATATGAACATTTATGTGGAAGCTCCGCTTAAGCTCAAATTAAACATAAACAACTTTTGGTTCGAACAAACCAAAGTGCAATCCCTCAAATAGCTCAGCTCGCAACACTTTGCCAAGTCTCGCCACCACATCAGGAAATCTGTTCGTGACGACTTCATTATCAAGAAAGTAGTGAAGATTAGCTCTAGAAATCGCTCAAGATGCTTTGTAGATGCAAAGCGTAGGGGAAGGCATTCGGGAATATATGGCTTGCGCATAACGATGAAATCTCGCTTGCTTTGACAACAAGGTGATCATGCCAAAGAGATTAAGAGTTTGTTTGAGGTGGCTACAACCATTTAAAAGATGGTTAAAAAGCTATGGTAAGGAATTCAAACTCTTAAAAGGATATTATAAAATAATAAAGATGTAGTTCCCCAAATAGAAATGTGATGACATTCTGAAACTTAAAGCAGACAGAGAGCTTCATATCCCAATCAAACTAAAAGCTAGGTGCTATTTTTGATGTTATTAGAATAACTTAATGTTATGTGATGAAATAGATAAATTTAGGTGTCAGAGATGTAAATGCTATAGTTTTAAGTGGTATATATGCAAGTCCCCCATGCATTAAATGTGTGATTGTAGTGTTGAAGAGTATGTATGATGTGTAAAATAGACATAATTATTATTTAATTTTTATGTTTAACCGAAGAACGATCTACCAAAAAAAAATTGTGTCCGCCCCCGCACGCAGAGATGGGTGCGGTGGGCCAATAAAAACTTCTCATTTACCAAAAAGTGTATGTCAGTGGGCTCACTTCGTGCGGTGGGCCAATAAAAACTCCTCCTTTACCAAAAAGTGTATGTCAGTGGGCTCACTTTTAATTTTTTTTTTCTTTTACATTTCATTGGACGGCGCACACAATAATCTCTCCTACCCAAGGGGTTACTGATAGTTCCAAATATGAAAAATATAATAATTCTAATCAATTAAACATATATTATGCTCATTTAAATATAGATTTAATGACTTTGAAATCCGTGCTAATCAATTTTATTTCTATCAGATTATGAGCTTAATTAATTGAAAAACAATGCTCATTTAGCTATAGAATTTATCTTTTTATCATACATATATTTATAGTGGGTAAACCGAAATTTAAGAGAATGATGGTGAAATTAAAAAGCTGAAGAGTAAATAAAATTTTTGTTTATGGCTTTTGTCTCTTTAAATATTTTAAATTTTTATAAATATTATTATTAAATTAAAAATATAATTAATAATAAATTATTATTATGTATTTATGTTTATGAATGATAAAATTCATTAGTATCATTATCAGTATATTATATGATACTAATGAATTTGATAATAAACTGATTTTGTCAAATGTGTCTCACATTAGGGATGTCAATTTGCTTCAGCGGATAGGGTTCCGGTCCAACCTGAAAATGAGACGTCCTGAATCAGGTCAACCAAAACCCGACCTGAATAATAGATGAGTCGAAAAAGTCTATTGAACCCAGCACGGCCGAGACACGGTTGACCAGAACTCGCCTATTTAATCCGCCACCTCAAAATTTTTATTAAAAATTATACTTCTAATATTTAGTAATAATTTACAATTTTTTTTTAAGAAAAACTTTGTTTATATATGACAAACAATGGTATAAAGTTAACAGTACAATCAATTTTTCGTGTTTATTCAGGTCATGTTCATATTTCGGGTTCAACTGTAACCCAGCACAAAATTTTTAAGTGTCAAATTCACAGACTCAAAC